TTTCACACGCACTGCTGTGTGTACATAATCCCACAAATTATTATGTTTACATGCTCATGCACTACAAATCATCTTGCACTGTTCCCCAGCCTGCTGCTTGACTTCCAATGTTTCTCTTTGCACATATACAGTATTTATGTGAAGCATTTGTATAGTTTGTATTTTTTAGTTTATGTATAGGTAACCATTTATATATAGAATATTTATAGTCAAAATCTGTTGTGTATAGGTTTATACTGTTTTACTACATTGTTGTATGTCTGTTTTTGTAGCACCGTGGTCCTGTGAGGCACGACATCTCGTTCAACTGTATGTCCCCACATGTAGCGGAATGACAATAAAGCTCAACTTGACTTGACTAGAGTCTAAAGACAAAAGAAGAAGAAAGTGGCAGGACTAGGCAGCTTGTTGGCGCTATAGAACATCAAATCATAAAATTGGTTCTAACTACAGAACCATTGATCCGATTGACCTTAAAATTAATATACAGTGTCTTTGTCTGAGTTGCCATCATTGTCCATGATGTGACAGTTGTTTATCTTGAGAAACATGGCCACTGTTCTGATGGCAACATGTCATGAGGGATCTTAGGCTGCATCTCTGCAATGCTTTTGCATATTGAGATTTTTTGACAGTGTCCTATCCATTTCATCACCAGAATAATACAGAATAATTAGACCGGTTTCCCTTCTACCTTTCATTGCAAAAACACTTGAATGAGTTGTGTTCAACCAAGTCTCTGCCTTTCTCACACAGAAAAACCTCCTGGACAGCAACCAATCTGGCATCAGAAGTAGACATTCGACCGAGACTACCTTGCTCTCAGTTGTTGAAGCCCTAAGACTGGCAAGAGCGGCTTCCAAATCTTCTATACTTATCTTGCTGGATCTGTCCGCTGGTTTTGATATGGTGAACCACCAGAACTGTTCCCTCCTGGTGGAATGACCTGCCCAACTCAATCCGAGCAGCTGAGTCCTTAGCCATCTTCAATAAACCACTACAAACACATCTGTTACATCTTTATTTGACCCTCTAACTCTAGCACTTTCTATTCTATTTTAATTCTGCTTCATCTATCTTCTTTTTTATAAAAAAAACTAACACTAGATTTCTATTTTTTCTATTAATATCTGATTGCTAAGTAGCGACTGACCAAGAATTTAGTTAGCTGCTGCTGCAGTGATGAAGTGTGTTTATGTTACACCTTCAGTTCTGATAATGCCCACAATTTTTTATTTTATTTTATATATATATATATATTATTTTTTTTTTAAATACCTTGCTACATGTACTGCGTTAGGCTAACCGAGACTTCTCATTTGCACTTACATATTGTTGCTCTTTGGTTAGTTTTGATTGCTTCTATTGTCCTCCTTTTTAAGTCGCTTTGGATAAAAGCGTCTGCTAAATGACTAAACGTAAATGTAATGTAAATGTAAATAATGTGTTATTATTTTTGCAGATAGTGGGCTTGGCCCTGATAGATGCTACTTGCAGCTATATAATATTATTATATGTATTTAGTTTTATGGGAAACAAGACAAACATACATTTGCAGTTTCTATAGTGCCATTCTAATATAGATTAGATGATTCTAAAAATGCTAAGCATGTGATGTTTTGAGCTCTTGAGAACACATGAAATCTGGAACCGAGTGGAATATTTTGATATTCCAAGCATGAGACTTTCTGATGAGCCGTCCAGGTGACAGGGTAGATGAACGGAGGGCGTTAGCATAGGATGGACAGCAGCATGCAATCAGCCTGACGGCTTTAGTGATGAAAGAAGGTGAGGAAATCTCAGTGGGGTTGCTGTATATTTAATGTGGTCATATTCCAGTGTCAGCTCCTGCCCAACTCCCACCAGCTCAATGTCATGTCATTGTTGCCGCATCGATCGATATCTGTGTGCGCGATTGAGCCAAAAAGTGTTTTACAATGGTGGAATGTGAACGTGCAGGATTGGCCTGAGACAGAGCTCTCACCCTCTTCGGGTCTGCATTGTGAACAAGAGCTATTGTTAAAAGCACTATGTAGATAAAGCGAAAACTCTTATAGGAGTGTCTGTGTTTCATCACCTTTAGTGATGTTAAGTACTACTGATATTGGAAGTCACCTTATATGCTTTTTTCAGCATAAAATTGCCTGTGGAAAGCATATTCCATTCCCCAAAGGGATAATAATATTGTTATGTATTGCATTATCGTCAAATTAACAAGTACCATCACCTCTAGAGGCCATATATGATGCTGAAAATGTACAGATAGCAGATTACATTGCTTTGTGTACAATTCTGTGAGAGTCCTGCACAACATAAACATAGTGAAGTGATGTAACAGGCAATAACAAATTGAAGCAAAAGCAAATATAATGGCTCGTCCAACCTCAGTATGACCCCAGTGCTTTGTAAATTCTACTTCAGCCCTGTATAAAAGCCATGATGCATAAAAACCATCTTTATATAATCTTAATTGCTTTCCAAATAAAACATTTGCTACCACATTTCCAATTAAAATGCATCCACAAACCATGGAGAATATATTTTTAAATGTAGCCTGTGGGTTTGTTTGCTTCATCTTCTGTAATAGTTCTGGATCTTGTTTCCAACTTATCATGAACACCCCCAATAATAAATAAATAATATTTTCAATATTATTATAATAAATAGAATAATTTTCAGTCCAAGTTATTCCTACTTGTTTTTAAGACCATTTGTTGTGTTTTTATGTAAAATGTATAACAAATTAAAACAAATTAATAATAATAACAATAAAGCAAATGTAAAATGATTATAAAATAATTAAATAAAATTAATTAAAAACCATATTCATAATTATGTTATAAAGTATGCCAAAGACATGTCATTGTAATGGGATGTTGACAAAAAAAAAAAAAAAAGAATGCAAGAGGTTTTACATGTGTGTTATTATTACATTACTATAATTTAATACAGAAAATTGCTGCTCTTTTACACCTCTAGTTGTGTGCTTGGGTGAGGTCTCACATCTCACTTCTAGTAAATAATCGCATGTTTGGTTGTGCTCATTAACGAGCATTTGAGAAGCAAAATGCAGCGGTGTGTTTTGCATGAATATAAGTGAATTAACTCGCATTTGATTCGGCGTGCGGCTCTACGTCAATATAAAGTGACATAATGAAGTGCAGAATGTCTGCCAATGCCCTTGAGATGTTCAGGAAAGCTGCTCTCTTTAAACCTATTTCCTTTAACTGTGCACGCTCCTCTGTACAGGAAGCAGCCTTTCAAAAAAACATGCTTTATTTGATATGCTAATATATTACATGCTGTTTAATTGATTTGTTTCTGATGAAAGCACAATAAAAATGGATTTGGGGAACAAGATGGTGAACCTTCCATGCAGGAACAGCACTCCCTTCGCATTACAGTCGTTTGCTGATATACAGTAAAGAGGTGTTTAATCATTGTCCATTCAGTGTGCTAACATGCTAATGTTAAGCTGTGTCCAAAAATAAGGCAGCTGCCTCGCTTGCATTTTTGCATAAAGATACCTCCCAAGGAAATTCAATCCAAGCAAATGTTTTGCGAGTACAACGCTTGTTTCTTGGAGGAAATGGAATCATGCATTATGAATTCATTTATTTCTTTCAACTGCTTCATAAGATGACACTTTTATTCTTTTCGCTAAGTCAAGAATACAACCAGGCAACTCAGCAGACTTGAGGTTCAAATATTGGATTCGGACAGGCTTCCTACTTTCTAGCTTTCAGCCACTGCTAGCAAATTGAGATTACATCCAATTGGTCTGTCAGTATATTTGATATTACCCATCACTCATCGCTTCCTTAATTGTAGAGAGAAATTATCTTCGATTGTTATGCTCTTCTGCTTTATTTGATCACCATGTTGACCATTTGCCATGGCATAGCACATTCTATAATATATGGCTTAATTTACACATGGTGTAGCACTACAGCACATTTTGTGCCTGCTTAAACTGAATTGCAGGTGGTTAGTGAATAAGATGCAGGGGTTTGCACCGAAATGCTGCATGCTAAAGTCGCACAGCTGTTTAGTGAATCCCCTCTTATCTCTCTCGCCCACTCTCCCCTTCTCTATTTCAGTCTCTCGTTTTCTCTCTCACATACGCACGGACACACAGTGCCACACATGTTAACACCAGCCCTGCAATTTGAGGCCTCCCCTCTAGAGATGTCAGGTTGTCAAAGCTAACCATCCAGTGTCGGAGTGAAGACAGGAAGCAATCCAGACAAAACATTTAACTTATCTATGTATCAGAAAATTCATTTCCTGTTAGCAGTGCTAATAATAGCTCTTCTGGGAGGCAACATGTAGATGAACATCGTTTCAGTCTATTCCCTGCTAGGAAATCTGGTTCGAAATTCTGATTTAGCACAATAATGTGGTTGAGCACAAATATTGGTCAATGCACTATCAATACAGCGTTCTACATTTGCTTTTATTATTTTGTAATGGCGTATGGTTTTCTTGAGATGTCCTTCTAGAGCAGAACACTATCATTTCTGCTATTTGTCTTTTTCTTTTTTTATTTCTTTATGATTATATTAATATTTTTCAAATTACAATGCAATTCAATGCAATGCAATGCAAAAAAAGAAAATGTGAGTGGTTGTGTTTGCAAGGCATTGCTATGCACTTGCAAAGGTATATGGAGAAATTAAGTGCATCGCTGTGCAGTTTCTGAGATTTTAAAGCCAAATCTCCCTTCCATGATATTCTGGTTTCAAGATATGCCTTGAGTGTCTCATTCAAATTGAGTCAAATGTCCGATTGCTTGAAAAATTAGCAGCACACCTCTCCTCAACGAGCTGCACAGTGTGAGGTATCGTCCATTGTCCACTGCAATGTCTAAAGTCCATTGCAAAAACAATATTAGACCAATTAAGAAGTTTAAATCTATGAGTTTGTTTGACGAGAGCCTTAAGAAGGATCCTCAGGTGCTACGGGTTCTCTTAACACTATGTGCCCTCGATCTGTTACAGGGTTCCTCAGCACAGGAGACCAGGCTGCTAAAGGGAATTATGGCCTTTTGGATCAGATCCAGGCTCTGCGCTGGATAAGCGAGAACATTGGCTATTTCGGCGGTGATTCCAACCGCATCACTGTTTTTGGATCAGGAATCGGTGCCTCTTGTGTGAGCCTTCTGACCCTGTCCCACCATTCTGAAGGTAAGAGAACATTTCATTCCACAGAAGAAAAAGAAAAGTCTTTGTCAAATTCAAATCCCCTTAATACTCAACTTTGCATAATTATCTTTGCGTCACAATGCAAAGGACTGAGAAAAAGTAATATCGTGTGTTAAATGTTCTTTCCATGGATAACTGTCAATTAACTGTTGAGTCATCAATTAGTTTGTAAGAAAGAATGAAAAATCCATTAACAGTAGTACATTATTAATACATTTTTATATAAAATATAGTTATTTTCGTAGATTATTATAAATGATTAGTTTAAAAAATATTTACATTCATAGATTAACTATCACAATATAATTAACAACCACAAAAAAATATAAAGAGTAAAATAAGGAATAACAATATAACAGAATAACACATTATAAAGAACAACTATAACACTTCAATCCATATCATAAACATGTAAACTCGGTAAACCTGGTTACTTGTGCAGAAGGAAACAGAGAGAGACATGTACGAGGCATGATCTAGCAGTAAATTTACACAGAAATAACTGAATCCACTGGACTTACAAGAGTAACCAGAAGTTCCTCCACCAAAAAGCCCTTTTTTATCTATTCTATTTGCAAACTGAGTCAAGATTACCTTGTAATCAACAGGTGCTGTCTAAAAAATAATATCCTATGATTGTTATTAGTGGTTCCACACAACTGATATGAGCAAAAGTGTTGTCTTTACTTATTTATGGTTGACTAAACTGTTTAGCATGTGTGCTATAAATTCATGGTGGACAATATAAATGAAAGACGTGTTGCAGATGTGTTGCTTTTCTGTTGACAACCTGTTTGAGATTTTGCATAAAATACCAAAGTGCTTTTAATTGATGTCAGCGATGATGGACGGTCAGCCAGCATTGAATTGCAAGCAAAGTGTGTAAATTAACATGCATAGATAGTTATGTATTTATGCAGCCATAAAGAGGCAGCGGTTTTTCACAGGACTTACCAAGGTTACATTTATCATCTTGTACCATATCTTTGTGGCGGACGCTATATGTAAATCGAAAACAGATTCCCAAGAGGCTTTTCTGAGATGTGAGAAATAATTGTAGAAAAGTCAATTGGTTTTGTGGGTTTCCATGACATCCAAATTAACTGTTGAACTTGAATATGTTTAATCATAAAACAAATGTTCAGAATCATAACACAAATGTCAACTGTAACTATCAACTCCTTTCCGATAAATATGTATATACCATGCAAGCAACACATATAGTGCATTATAAAGATAAACATTCTGTTTGTAGTGTTGTAAGACTTTAGAATGGTGCCGTGACATTGTACATGTTGAGATACAAACAATTGATATTATCTGTCGGAGACTGTTGTAAAGGAAGCCACTGTAATTCTTTCACTCTTTTATTTCTATATAGATTGAAAGTTGTGTCTGGCTTTCTCTATTAAGCAATCATTGAAGTTTCAGATAAGGTCTTAGGTTGTTTCTACACTTCGCTTCTTGCCATGAATAATTTTGTGTGTTTGTTTGCATTCTTCAGATTGCATCAGTGCGTCATTAATTGCTTTGATTTACTTTGGTTTTGGATAGATTTCCTTTACCATAAATGCATTTTCTATTCACATATTGCCAGGCTTCATGTAGCATGTTATTATACGGTCACATCAACCGCTTCATTCCTTTCTCAGTAAATTGGATATTTACCAATGCTGATGTTTCCCCTGAATAGAAGTATATTCCCTACTTGGTTTGATGAGATAAAAAAGCAGCACTGGGGGGAACTGGGTTTTACTGACAGCCTCTATAAACTATCAGGATCCTTGAAAATTGAAACAGGAATCCTGCTATTGCAAAAAGGGGTACTCGCCGCAAATGCTTCCAATATCAATCAGCTAGCTCTGCAATACTTCTCAAAGCTGTGATTTTAGCCATCACAGCAAGGGAAAGGAAAAGGATTACCAAATGGTAATCGGCGAGGATTAGAGGGATGCAATAGTAAAGAATCCATTTACTCTTTTAAAAAAAAGTAGATGTCATCACAACTTGAAGATTGAGAAATACAGTTGCCTTGGTCATAGCTAAATAGTGCTTTATTGGCACAACAAAGTACTACAGTTTAGACTAAGGCATGGGAGACAAGTGAAGAAACATGTTCAACAAAGTGCTTGTGTGCCATCAGTGAGAAAGATATCCAGGTGGTTAAAAATGCAATCATGTACACTCTGGAGATGATGTTGGAAGGGTTTCAACTCATTTTCGGTTGATAACCTTGTAAGTAAATGTCCGTAACAGAATGTTCTTTTTAACTTATTTGTGGTTGATAACCTGATAAGCAAATCTATGTAAAGGTGTTTTAATCTACAGATCATTGTATGTCATTTTATGGAACATCTTATCAACGTTCACAGTTCATCCAAAGGAAAAATACAATTTCTTGGCAAGGTATGTGTGCTCTCTGAATGTTGATTGTTCTGCTAATTGGCAAAAGATACAATTGCCCTTTGAGTAACACAAAGAACATCTTCTGATGAAACGGATTTCAAGCACCGTCCAGCTATTGGACAGGGCAAATCTGAAGCTGAAATCCCACTGCAGGTGAATCCCACCCACAGTGCAAGAGCCATTCACATTTCCCCTGACCCTGATCCCCGGGAAAACACAATTACCTGAATCCCATCATCTGAAATACCAAAGGCTCGGATCAAAAAACACTTCAGCTCCATCCTCGCAGTGCAGTGCAGTGTGTGAGATTGAGTGTGTTGCTTGCTTGGCAAGTGTGTGTATTTGTGGTGGTGTTAATGAGGCCACTGTGACCTGTCTCCTCCTTGCAGTCTGGCTCGTCATCTTATGGGGCCTGCTGCTGCCACACGCCCAGACAGGGCGAGCTCCATGTGGGAGCAGCAGGCCCCATAAGATGACGAGCCAGACTGCAAGGAAAGAGGGCTTCATCTATCAGCCCACTCCACCGCAGGAGTTAGCCTGCCCGCCAGGTCCCCGCTGTGGGATGGATTGCAGATGCATCCCACTGTCCTCCTCCATCATCAAGTTTAAGTGCAATCATCTGTCTTGCTTCTTAGATGGAAATGGGGACCTTACATAAAGGGAGAGAACATAGGTGGTTCGCTGTCATTTATGTATATAGAGATTTTGTGATATACGGCTTAAATATGATCACATGATCTTCCATCCATCTGTAAGCATTCCCATAATGTGATTTGCACAAGTGGGAGATTGTTTCTGGATCAGCATCCTTTATTGGTCCTGGAACAACATTAAACTGTCATTGCCCTCTGATCTTCTGGTAGGTTTAGGGCAAGGGTGACCGGTCTTGCTCCTGGAAGTCCACCTTCCTGCAGAGTTTAGCTCAGCCTCTAACTCTAATTAAACACACTTGAACCAGCTAATTATGGTCTTCAGGATTACTCAAAATATCTTATGCAGGTGTGTTGGAGCAGGAGAAAGCTAAAATTTGTAAAAAGGTGGCCCTTCAGGAGCAAGTTTGGACAGCCCTGGTTTAGTGTTTTTGCTAGAGCCAGCCAACCACCTATGCATTCTGATATCTATTCCTTTAGAGTTAGTGCCAGGTTTTGCAAAGACATAACTACCAACCAATCACTGCTGTCAGGTTTAAGGCGTAGGGCTGAGGCAGGTTTCACACACTTGGGGTCTCATTTATAAAACTCTCTGTAGATTTCATCCTAAAATCGTAGATTTTGCATACGCACAAAAGCTAGATTTTGCGTACGCACAAACGTTTTCAGATTTTTGAAACCATGCGTACACCAGACCTTGCGCAAAAATCCCTTCGTAAATCCCAGTCAGGGGAAGATTGTGCGTACATGCATCTCCACCCCGTCTCCTCCCAGAAATCACCATATATGGAGCTTACAACACCTGGAAATGATATGCAGATGATGTTATGCATAGTAAAACTTTACTATGCATAACATCATCTGCATATCATTTCCATGCATAATCCCATCCACATGACACCATGTTTAACACCGTCAAAGGTACAAAACATTAAGGAAATATGAGATACGGACTATAAATGCCATTTGTGCCATACATAAATTTTTATTGCTAAGAATCATCCAATATCCTTGTTATGTTTTAGAATAAATATATCAAAATATCCATAAAACAAAACCATTTAAAATGGTTCTCAGATAGATTTGATCTCATTCTTTTACACTGGCCAAATAGTATTTCAGTTGTTTTAAAGGGGTCATATGATGCTGCTAAAAAGAACATTATTTTGTGTATTTGGTGTACTGAAATGTGTTTATGCGGTTTAAAGTTAAAAAAACACATTATTTTCCACATACTGTACATTATTGTTTCTCCTCTATGCCCCGCCTTTTTGAAACGCGTCGATTTTTACAAAAATACCTCAAGCGTGTGACAGAAATGTTACGCCCCTCGCCATACTGTTGATGCCGTGTCCCGGCCGGAGCGACGAAACAAAAAACATGAAAACCCGTTACAAACTAGGCATTTGTTGCATCCAGTGGGGACATAATTACTGATTATAATGACTTACACTGCCGCGTAAACATAAAACCATGTGTGCATTTGTGATCAGAGAAATGACAAACTACAAACGCTACTCTACACTGCTCAAAACTCGCGTTTGAATCATCAGTGGCAAATCCTTTAAATGAAAACGTACTTAC